AACACTAATCAAAGAGGGAAGGATACAAATTCCAGCAAGTAGTGGTGATATTCCAGTCTCAAGTTTCCAAAGAGGAAGTATATTTAGAGAACAAAAATGAGATGCAAAAATTTAAAAACACCTTCAATCATATCCTGCAAATAGCCATCATTAAAATTAATTTTCAATCCATCTCTCAGTTATTAGATCTAAATAACAGAAGACAAAATAAGGTGTTTTAAAAAATTGAATTAAAAATAAGCACCTTTTGGGGCTGGCCCCGTAGCGTAGTGGTTAAATTCACGTACTCTGCTTTGGCAGCCCTGGGTTCACCAACTTGGATCCCAGGCACAGACCTATACACTGCTCATCAAGACATGCTGTGGAGATATCCCACATACAAAACAGAGGAAGACTGCCAAAGATGTTAGCTCAGGCCAATCTTCCTCACCAAAATAAAAATAATAAATAAGCACTTTTTGATTTTTTAACTTTTTTTTTTTTTGAGGAAGATTGGCCCTGAGCTAACATCTGTTGCCAATCTTTCCTTTTTTTTTTTTTCTCTCCAATGACTCAGTACCTAGTTGTATATCCCAGTTGCAAGTCATTCTAGTTCCTCCATGTGGGATGCCACCACAGCATGGCTTGATGAGCGGTGCGTAGGTCCATGCCCAGGCTCCAAACTGGCAAACCCCAAACCGCCAAAGCGGAGCATGCAAACTTAACCACTCAGCCTTAGCGCCGGCACCTGATTTTTTAAACTATTATTTAATTGAATATGACTCTCTTTGAATTTAGAATTACTACCCACAGATGTTCCACTGCAAGCACTGCACAGATAGGTCACAGGTGTGAGCCCCTAAATTACCATAAACAACAGTCAGTCATTAAAATATACCTTTTGTTCATTATATAATAAGTTGTTGTCATATATTTTTGTTACAACTTAAATAACGTGATCTACCTTCACACACGGCTATTTTAGTCACTATATCCTAAATAGTTAGCAAAGCAAAAAAGGAAGATAACATTACAGCTGCCAGAGGTAGCATAATATAAAAGGAACAAGGCTTAAGAGATAAACAGATCAGATTCCCATCTCAGCTTCACCATGGACCACTTGGTTAAGATGGTAAAGTTATACTTTCTAAAGTTTTATGTCCTTCCTCTTCAAAGATATGAAACACACACACACACACACCTATGTAAACAATACTGCATAACGCCTGACACACAAAAGTTTTGCAGCTAACATCTAGGTGGCAGTATACCATAATGGCTTAGGAGTGTGACTACTTGTGCCAGATCCCAACTCTGCCACTTACTTAGCCTCATGACCCTGGACCAATTATTTAATCTAAGCCTCAATTTTATTTTAATATAAACTAGAACTATTAACAGGCTTTACGAGATATGAAGCACTTAGTAGAGTATTTGGACTACAATAAACATAAGAAATGTTTATTATTATTATATTATTTTAATTAAGCATTTAAGGCATTAAAATAATGTATTAGCTATCCTCTCATATACTCTGAATTGGCAAAAGTTAATTTCCGGCATTCTCAAGGAGCCACTGTACAATTAGTCATGTTCTTCCAATTTCTTTTTTACATATTTTTTACGACAACTGATTAGAACACTTCTTAATCAGAAGTTAATGTAATGCAACATAATATAGGGAAGAAATAATACTTTAAAAAAAGAATCATCCAGAACACATTGAAAAGTGACTTTCTATTAGCAGAAAAAGAAACATTTTTAACTGTACAAGTATACTGCATTGTATAAATGCAAGAAAAAAATGGACCCTATAAAATAGAAGAAAATTATAAATAGAGAACAGTCAAATATTAAAAGGCAAGTGGAGATTTGTTTTTTTATGGAGATGATTGAGCGAAGAAAGATTTTCAGGGACACAAAATGGAAAACTTAAAATCCATACAGGATGTAGGAAAAGTAGAAATTGAAGTGGTGAAAAATGAAGCAGTAAAGACACTTGCAAGCTCTTAGCATACAGAGATTTAAAAAAAAAACAAAAAACAGGGGCCAGCCCGGTGGCATAGTGGTTAAGTTCGTGTGCTCCACCTTGGCAGCCTGGGTTTCTGGATCCTGGGCGTGGGCCTAGATACCACTTATCAAGCCATGCTGTGGCAGACATCCCACACATAAAGTAGAGGAAGACGAGCACAGATATTAGCTCAAGGCCAATTTTCCTCAGCAAACAGAGGAGGAGTGGCAGCAGATGTTAACTCAGGGCTAATTTTCCTCAAAAAAGTAAAAAGGAGAGAGATGAAAACGATAAAGGCATATTTTCTAAAAACCTATAGCAAATATCCTAACTTAATGGTGAGAGACCTGTTTCTCTCTAAAACTGGGATCAAAATAGGATGTTCAAACTTACCACTCCTATTCAGCATCATATTAGAAGTCCTAGTCAGTGCAATAAGAAAAACAAATGAATGGACTGGAAAGGAGGAAATAAAACTGTCTATTCATGGACAGCTTGCCGTTCTACAAAAAAAACGATAAGGAATCCACCATAAAAACTGCTATAACTAATTAGTGAGTTTAGCAAGGTCATAGAATACAAGGTCAGCATACAAAAATCAATTATGTTTCTATATACTATCAATAAACAACTGGAAACCAAAATTTTAAAAACTGTACCATTTACAACAACTCCAAAAAAACAAAATGCTGGGGCCAGCCCGGTAGTGCAGTGGTCAAGTTTGCACATTACGCTTTGGCAGCCCAGGGGTCGCTGGTTCGGATCCCAGATGCAGACATGGCACCACTTGGCAAGCCATGCTGTGGTAGGCATCCCACATATAAAGGAGAGGAAGATGGGCATGGATGTTAGCTCAGGGTCAGTCTTCCTCAGCAAAAAGAGGAGGCTTAGCAGCAGATGTTAGCTCAGGGCTAATCTTCCTCAAAAACAAACAAAAACAAAATGCTTAGGTACAAATCTAACAAAATACACACAGGATCTGTAAGCTGGCAAATGAAAAACACCAATATAAGAGATCAAAGAGGACCTCAATAAGTGGAGAGAGATACTCAATATTGTTAAGAAGTCATTTCTCTACAAAGTAATCTATAAATTTAACATCATCTCAACCAAAATCCCAGCAGGATTATTTTGTAGATACAGAAAAGCTTGTCTTCAAATTTCTTTGAAAAGGCACAGAAACAAGAATAGCCAAAACAATTATGAAAAAGAACAAAGTTAGCAGAATCACACTACCTGATTTTAAGACTTACTATAAAGGTAGAGTAATTAAAGCAGTGTGATACTGGCATAAAGATAGACAAAACAGATAAATCAATGGAACCAAACAGAGAGTCCAGAAAAAGACCCACACAAATATATCAAATGATTTTTGACAAAGGGGCAAAGGCAATTCAGGGAAAAAGGATGTTATCAACAAATTATGCTGGAATAAAGGAACATCTAAATGCAGAAAAAAATAACTTTGACCTGCACCTTACACCTTACACCAAATTAACTCAAAATGTATGTAGACCTAAATGTAAAACATAAACCTATAAAACACTTAGAAGAACACAGAAGAGAAAATTTTTGTATTGTTACAAATACTTAGAGACAAAATCAAAAGCACCAAAAGCAGAATCAATAAAAGAAAAAAACTAATAAATCAAACTTCATCAGAATTAAAAGTTTTTGCTCTGTAAAAGACACTGGTAAGGAAAAAAGAAAAGGAATAAACAGGCAAGCTAGAGACTGGGAGAAAATATCTGCAAATCATATATCTGACAAAGGACTTAAACCTACAATCTATAAGGAACTCACAAAACTCAACAGAAAGCAAACAAACGCCCTCCACACACTGTAACAATAACAACAACAAAATCTCCATGCATTTCTATATGCTGGGATATATACCTGCAACTGTCCTTTATATTACTATAAAGGGACTTCTTTATCTGTCATAATGTGGAAATACAGTTAGGCAAAAGATATGAACAGACACTTCATCAAAGAAGGCATATGGATGGCAAGTAAGCACATAAAAAGATCACCAACATAATCTGTTTATGGAAACGCGAATTGAAAACACAAGATACCACTACAAACTTAACAGGATGGCTTTAATAAAAACAACCAACAATACCAAATGCTGACAAGGATTTGGAGCTACTGGAACTCTCATATAATGATAGTGAAATGCAAAATAATACCAATCCTTCACAAATTCTTCCAGAAAATAGAAAAGGAGGAGAGAACACATCCCAACTCATTTTAGGAGGCCAGAATTACCCTGATACCACCAAAGACATCACAAAAAAACTCAGACCAATATCCCTCATGAACATAGATGGAAAAATCTTTAACAAAATATTAGCAAATCAAATACTGCAACATATTAAAAGGATGATATATTGTGACCAAGTGAGATTTATCCCAGGAATACAAAGTTGGCTAAAAATCTGAAAATCAATTATGTAATACAACATATTAATAGAAAAAAGGGCAAAATCTGTATGATCATCTCAACTTCCAGTAAAAGTGACTAAAGGTTACCAAAGAGCCTTGTGACACTGCTGTTTATTCTACACTTTCCTCAAAGTGTTCATTTTGTTCACTATTTCCTACTCAACAAATATTGACTACCTTCTGCACGCAAGGCATTCTTCTAGGCACTAATACAGACACACAAAAACAAATTATTATGTGACTCAAAAATTATAGTAAGTCTTATACATAGGGACACAGTTAAAAAGAACAACCAACTCTGCCCAAGGACTCAGGAAAAAGAAAAAAAGACTGTCTCATTTCTATTCTTAAGTTATACAGGCATATTTTAGACTGGCAATTAAAATTAAATCATATTGTGGTGACAGATACATATGAAAATTTTATAGGATTATTGTTAATATACTTTCTTTTGCCTGACTCTACCTCTCTACAAAATATTATCACTTTAAAAACACTTCAGGTATAAAAATTTATGCCATACATTATTGAAAAATACCTTTGGGCTAATATAATCCTATACCTTGTGGGGAGCAAGAATCCTCTGCCTGAATTTTTCAACAGTTTCTTGACCCATAGAAGACCAAGCATTGACAAATGCTTCTGCTTTGTCTTGTCTAAGGTGAATGTGCTCTAACTGCTGCTGCAAAGCCGCTGGCTTCACGTTGTGATATACTGCCTATTAAAGAGAAAAATAAAATTACATATATCCCTAATATTCATACAGATACCTTGATCTATAATCAAATACAAAATTATTTTTAAATGATTTAAATCAAAAGAATATTTCATATTTCTACAGTAGAAATTTTTTATTATTTTACAAATAATATACAAAACCAAGGGCTGGAAGATTCAGGATTAAATGGCCTAAATTATTCAGGCTAAACTTTTTCATTTTTGCTTGTGGTTTAAGTAACCCTAAATCTGCTTAACCAAAAAACTTCTTCTTTGCTTTAGCTATGTAAATAGTACCCTAATTAAAATTTCATATCCTTAATTCACTTAATTATTTCAAAGAAGTATACAATGGTTTTGTTTGCCAACTAACAAAATTTTTCCAAGAAGCATTTTTTCAAAACTACCTTCATCTACCAACTTCCTAGGTAACATATAATAAAAAACTGTAAAAATTTTTAACAGTGATATCTATCCCATTTCGTACATTATTCTGTAACAACTTTCTCATAAATCCCATGCTGCTCTGTCCTATTCAATTATCCTTTTCGTCTATTGAAGGCCCACCGAGGACATGAACCATGGTCATCTTTAGGATCTGTAATCTATATGAGGCTGTATGTAGTAAATGCCCAGAAGCTTGTCCTCCTAACAGTATCTCTAACTAGCAATGCTCATGAAGCCATTGCACTATTTAAACTTTTATTTCACAAGTATTCTGTCTAATCAAACAACAAGAATTTAGGGAGAATCTATTTTAAGCCCAGCAACATAACATGCACAAAAAATATGATCCTGGCCCCTCACGAATTCAAAATCTAGTGAAGGAGACATAACTGAAACACATGAAATAATGAAAGGCTAACAATGTGCTCTCCTATGATAAGCCAAGGATAAAAGGAATCCAAATAAGGTGAAAGCTATAAGTATAAGGGGTCAATGCTGCAGTGGGGGGAGGTGTGACTTGAAGGGGAACTTAAACAATGAACTGAATTTAGATGAAAAGAAGGGATCAGAAGGGCAGCTCAGTAGGAAAAAATAGTACGACCAAAGGTCCTTTGACAACTACTACTTTTCTACATGTTTTATTTATCAGCCTAGTCAAATAATTCGCCCAAAATCATTTGTTAAATTTCTGAAATAAAATGTGTTCATTTTTTCAAATTATTATACCAAGTAACAATGAATTAAAATCTTTTATAACTGTCTCAAGTCAATGAAGTCTTGATTCAAATAGTCAAATACTTTACTTATGCTACTCAACATTAAGATTGTTTTGTAGAATGCATACTGTGGAAAAATCATAATTCAGCTTTTCTTCATTACACTGAAATTCTTGATTAAAATATATTCACTGCTTCTATCAACACACTATATTTTAAAAAAATAAAATGGTATAGATATCATAGCAATATAAGGACATAATAAACAAACCATGCTTAGGAAGCTTGGGGCAATAAAAATACCTGTTCTAAAATGAATGATATTGTTTCAAGAACTAGGTGAAGATCTGGTTTCTCTAGAGAAAATGCAGCTTGAAGTTTTTCCTCCTCTTCTTCACTGAAACTGTTCTCAGCCTACAACACAAAAAGCAATGTATTAGCACACACTCAAATATTCTAAACTCAGACACTCAACAGAAGATTCACTTACTCATATATGGAATGAGAACACGAAAGAAAAAGTGAATCCATGGTGAAAGAAACTGATGTGTTTATAAATTTCAATATCCAAAATCACAGTACAGTTCAGTATCTGGATTTTGTCAAATAAAGTTCATTTTTAAAAACCAGCATTTTAAGTTCTATGATTTACAAGAGGTGGAAAATAACAATAAATACTGTAACAAATGGACATGTAGAAAAAATACCAGAATACAATACTAGAAGGTAAAACCCCAAAATATTAACAATAATTAATAGTAACTTCCATCTTTACTCATTCAAAAATATTTACTGAGTTATCTACTACGTGCAACGCAGACAGACAGTTCATGTCCTCAGGTATACTATACTTTAGTTAGAAAGACACATAAAAACAAATAATTATTGGAGGTGACATCAGCATCATGGCAGAGTAAGTTCTCCCGGTAATCTCCCACCTCCAAGATACAATGAAAACGACACTCATACTCCAACAGAGGACATCCAAACACAATACAAAAAACATCAGAGAGACCCACACAACCATATGACAGAGGGAAGAGAGGCTGGAGCCCTCCTCGGAGGAGGTGGAACAGGGTTAGAGAAAACTTGGCGCTGTCCCCTAAAGGCTGCAATCCAGGACTGCAGGAGACCTCTGAGAGAGAAGGAACAGGGAAGGGGACATTCATTCATGGGAACATCAAAGGTCCCCGAAGGCCCTTGAGGCCTAGAGGGAAGCCCTCTACTGGGGTGAAAGCTTTCTCAGGGGGTGACCTCATCGAGTCAAGACCCTCAGGAGAGCAGATAGCAAGAGCAGAGCGAGAAAACCCCAAGAGCATGCAGGAGAAAGCACTCCTCCCCTGACCCGCCCAGCATGGCTCCAGCACCTAGGATCTCTGCTGAAGGCAGACAGCTCAGAATACGCAGCTCTTGACCCCAACCCCATGACAACAGGCAGTAACTGCAACCAAATAACACCAGGATGCAGAAAAACAGAGCCACTCCCTCTACTAATATCAAACATTATATTAGATCTCCAGACCAGAAAGAAGATAAGTACCCAGAAATCAGTCCTGAGGACACAGAAATACGTAATCTAAATGACAAAGAATTCAAAATAGCTATCATCAAAAAACTCAATGAATTAAAGGAGAATGTAGAGGAACAATTCAACGAGTTCAGGAGCTACTTCACAAAAGTGATTGAAACTCTAAAGAAGAATCAATCAGAAACATTAGAGATGAAAGACATAATGGAAAAAATAAAACAAAATATGGATTCCCTGAACACTTGAGCACATCATAGAGGAGCACATCAGCATAATAAAAGATAGACATGTTGAAATGCTCCACATTGAGGAGAGAGAACTAAGACTAAAAAGAAATGAAGAGTCTCTGAGAAACAGCCAGCTCAATTAGGAAATACAACATAAGAATTATAGGTATTCAAGAAGGAGAAGAGAAAGAGAATGGAGCAGAAAGCTCGTTCAAAGAAATAACAGCAGAGAACTTCCCAAATCTACAGAAGGAGATGAAAATCCATGTGGATGAGACTACCAGATCTCCTAAATATGTCAATGTAAAAAGACCTATTGCAAGGCATATAGTAGTGAAACAGGAAAAATTGAATGACAAAGAAAGAATACTAAGGACAGGAAGGCAGAAGAAAATAACCTACAAAGGAACCCCTATCAGGCTTTCAGAGGATTTCTCTGCAGAAACCTTACAAGCTAGAAGGGACTGGAATGACATATTCAAACCTTTGAAGGACAAAAACTCAGCCAAGAATACTCTATCAAGTGAAAATATCCTTCAGATATGATGGAAAAATAAAAACTTTCCCAAACAAACATAAACTAAGGGAGTTCGTAGCCACAAGACTGCCCCCCCACACACACACACACACATACACACACACAAGAAATCCTCAAGAAGGCCCTCATACCTGAAGAAAATAAAAGGGAGAAAGGCGTTACAAAGCACAGAGGAAGGAGATAAATAGATAGACAGAATCAGAACAGGACACCAAATACTCAAGTATAGCATTAAAGACAAAGGGAAGGAAGATATCAAAAACAGAGATAATCTTGTCATTTTAAACACAAACTCATAACACAAGATGGAATAAGATGTGAGAAAAACAACTTAGGAAGGGAAGAGGAAAGGGACTGAATCAGTTTAGTTTAAAGAAATAAGAGGCCATCAGAAAAGGGACTATCTTACCCATGAGATTTTGAATACAAACCTCATGGTAACCACTAAACAAAAAAGTAGAACAGCAGAGACACAAATAACAAATAAGGAGAAAACAAACACAACATAAAATACTACACAACTCAATTGATAGACCAAAATACACAGGACAAGAAACAAAGGAAATACAGGAGAACCAGAAAACAAGTGATAAAATGGCAGCATTAAGCCCTCATATATCAATAATCACCCTAAACGTAAAAGGATTGAATTCTCCAATAAAAAGACACAGAGTGGTGACACGGATTAAAGAACAAGACCCGACAACATGCTGTCTGCAGGAAACACATCTCAGCTCCAATAACACAGGCTCAGAGTGAAGGGATGGAAGATGATACTCCAAGCTAATGACAAACAAAAGGAAGCAGGTGTTGCAATACTTATATCAGACAAAGTAGATTTCAAGATAAGACAGGTAAAGAGAGATAAAGAGGGGCAGTATATAATGATCAAAGGGACATTCCATCAAGAAGAAATAACACTTATACATATCTATGTACCCAAGACAGGAGCACCAAAGTTCATAAAGCAGCTATTAACAAACCTAAAAGAAGATATTAATAATAACACAATAATAGTAGGAGACCTCAACACTCCACTCACATCAAGGGATAGATCATCCAGACAGAAAATCAACAAGGAAACAGTGGAATTAAATGAACAGCTAGACCAGCTGGACTTTAAATAGACATATATAGAAGACTCCATCCAAAAACAGCAGAATACACATTCTTCTCAAGTGCACACAGAACATTCTCAAGGATAGACCACATCTTTGGAAACAAGGCAAGCCTCAATAAATTTAAGAAGATTGAAATAACAACAAAGCATCTTCTCCAATCACAATACTATAAAGCTAGAAATTAATTACAAGAAAAGAGCTGAGAAAGGAACAAAGATGTGGAAACTAAACAACATGCTATTGAACAAGCAACGGATCACTGAAGAAATTAAAGGAGAAATCAAAAAATATCTGGAGACAAATGAAAACATACCATACCAACTCATATGGGATGCAGCAAAAGCCATATCAAGAGGGAAATTCATCACAACACAGGCACACCTGAACAAACAAGATAAATCCCACATAAGCAATCTCAAACTACACTAATTGAATTAGAAAAAGAAGAACAAAGCCCAAAGTCAGCAGAAGGAGAGAAATAATAAAAATCAGAGCAGAAATAAATGCTATTGAAACAAAAAAAGGCAGTAGAAAGGATCAATGAAACAAAGAGCTGATTCTTTGAGAAGATAAATAAAATTGACAAACCCCTAGCCAGACTTACAAAGAATAAGAGAGAAAGTTCAGATAAATAAAATTAGAAATGAAATAGGAGAAACAATAACAGATTATACGAGAATACCACAGAAATACAATGGATTATAAGAGAATCCTACAAAAAACTATATGCCAATAAAATGAACAATCTAGAGGAAATAGATAAATTCTTAGACCCTTACAACCTCCCAAAGCTGAATCAAGAAGAAATAGAGAATCTGAATAGACCAATCACAAGTAAAGAGATTGAAACAGTAATCAAAACCATCCCAAAGAATAAAAACCTAGGACCAGATAGCTTCCCTGAGGAGTTGTACAAAACTTTCAGAGGGGATTTAATACCTATCCTTCTCAAGCTATTTCAAAAAATTAGAGAAGATGGAACACTTCCTAACACATTCTACAAGGCCAACATCACTCTGATACCAAAGCCTGACAAGGACAACACAAAAAAGGAAAACTACAGGCCAATATCACTGATGAACATAGATGCAAAAATCCTCAACAAAATATTGGCAACCCAAATACAATACATCAAAAAGATTATACATCATGATCAAGTGGGATTTATACCAGGGACACAGGGATGGTTCAACATCCGCAAATGAATCAATGTGATACATCACATTAACAAAATGAGGAATAAAAACCACATGACCTGGGGCTGGCCCGGTGGCACAGCGGATAAGTTCGCATGTTCCGCTTCTCAGCGGCCCGGGGTTCACCAGTTCGGATCCCGAGTGTGGACATGGCACCGCTTGGCAAAAGCCATGCTGTGGTAGGCATCCCACGTATAAAGTTGAGGAAGATGGGCATGGATGCTAGCTCAGGGCCAGTCTTCCTCAGCAAAAAGAGGGAGACTGGCAGTAGTTAGCTCAGGGCAAATCTTCCTCAAAAAAAAAAAACCCACATGATCATCTCAATAGAGGCAGACAAAGCATTTGACAAGAGCCAACAGCTATTTATGATAAAACCTCTTAACAAAATGGGGATAGAAGGAAATCACCTCAACATAATAAAGGCCATATATGACAAAGCCCCCCACAGCGAACATCATAGTCAATGGGGAAAAGTGAACGCCATCCTTCTGAGAACAGGAACAAGACAAGGATGCCCACTCTCACCACTCTTATTCAACATAGTACTGGAGGTTTTGGCCAGAGCAATTGGGCAAGAGAAAGGAATAAAAGGAATCCAAATAGGGAGTGAAGAAGTGAAACACTCACTGTTTGCAGACAACATGATCTTATATATAGAAAACCCTAAAGAATCCACTATTCTAGAAAACTATTAGAAATAATTAACAACTACAGTAAAGTTGCAGGGTACAAAATCAACTTACAAAAATCAGTTGCATTTCTGTACTCTGACAACGAACTCAGAGAAAGAGAACTCAAGAACTT